ATTATGGACTTATAGAAGGAGACCTTCTAAAAACGTTAAAATGTATTACTGGCACGCGAAACCTTAAATTAGAGTGAATAAATGAAGACTCGGCACACCTCTTCTGAAAGGTTGCCGACCCCGGCTGTGGGACATTTACTACCACTGGGAGTCTTTAATTGGAAACCAGATGCCTTGCTAAAAGAGATGCTCCAGGACAACCACAACTTGCTAGGCTTGTTGAAAGAACCATCAGGTGGAATTCTCTGTGTGCTGTGCTTGGAGGTCAGGCTAGATAGTCATGATAGAGGCTCCTGGGCCTTCAGATTTATCACTCTGGGGAAGTTAAGTGTACACTTAATTTGGAAAGTACAACTCTAGTCCAGGTAAAGGCATTTAAATGGACTATTTTAAAATATTTTCCCTGGCCTCATTTCTTGGATTCAACTTCACTTTCCAGGGAATTGGAATGGAAAGGCAGCCGACAGCCAATATCTAAGCGTGAGCAATTCTCCCTTGTCTCTTAATTTCTGGCTTCTTGCTGAGGGCTTTGTGAAAAAGCAGCTACACACTTCAGGAGCCAAGAGTGGCTGGAAGGGTTTCGCAATTAAAATAAATGAGTAAAAGAAATTAATGTGCCACATATTTTCCCCCTTGGAGGGGTTTAAAGTGCCTCCTGCACGGTTCTTGTAGGACACATTTGCTGCTGGTCACTGTCAGAGGCAGGACATTAGACTAGATGCATCACAGCTCTGATCCTGTCTGGCACTTCCTATGTTCCTAGTTGATTTCACTTCTGAAAACTCACATTTGACCTAGCCAGTTTAATGGGATGCCCGCATAGGTGGGCACTTGTAAGCCAGTTAGAATCCTCCTTTCATTATGCCCATTTCATTAGTACACATACGGCACATTTCAGATCACATCAACAGGAACTGTAACTGCAGTGGTTTGCTTTTCTCTGCAAGCAGAGCTTGGAAAACCTGGCTGGACAAAACAATATACTGCTAGGGAATGATTTTGTGCTGGCAGAGGGATAGAGAAGATGCTCTAAGATTTATTCCTTTTACAGCCCTCTCCCCAGTTCAACTAGCACGGTAGGATATAGATATTCAGGCCTGTCTGTAAAGGCCTATACTCTAAGAATTTAGGTGTATTCTTATCACTTGGCTAGTTATAGAGGTATAAAAGAAAGAATCAAAATCACTGTCTGCCGGTGTAAGGTCCTTCTCCTACTGTGACAGTCTGAGGCCCTGTGCTTAAGCTAAGGCCTTTGGCTAAGCAGCAGAGGCAGCCATAAGCTGGGAAGCGACTGGTCACCTCCTCACATTCCAAACTAGTCACACTGAAATAAGGTGCTATTGGGCTGTTAGGAATACAAACCTGTCCTGATAATGCTATTGCCTCCAGAGAAAGGGAAGTGCCTAGAAAATGTAAAAGGAAACTTAGTTTGATAGCATCCTGTCTGGCAAGAACTCACTTATCAATAGCTGGGATGTGAAATCCTCATTTCTGTGTTTGTTCTATCACTGTAGGCCCCATTTCCCTATTGTTTGTCTGTATAATCTCTGTCTGGTTCTGGGATTGTTTCTGTCTGCTGTATAATTAGTTTTGCTGGGTGTAAACTAATTAAGGTGGTGGGATATAATTGGTTACATAATCATGTTACAATACATTAGGATGGGTTAGTTAAATTTCAGGAAAATGATTGGTTAAGGTATAGCAAAGCAGAACTCAAGTTTTACTATATAGTCGGCAGTCAATCAGGAAGTGTGTGTGTGGGGGGGGAAATGGGAACAGGGAATGGGGGTGGGGAAATTGGAATCATGTTTGGCTAAGGGCAGGAATGGGAACAGGGACACAGGTAAGGCTCTGTGGTGTCAGAGCTGGGAAGGGGAACGCTAAGGAAGGAAACTGGAATCATGCTTGCTGGAAGTTCACCCCAATAAACATTGAATCGTTTGCACCTTTGGACTTCGGGTATTGTTGCTCTCTGTTCATGCGAGAAGGACCAGGGAAGTAAGTGGGTGAAGGAATAAACCCCTAACATAGCATAGACCCTGTGCAGAGCCCTGTGGATTTCTGCAGTGTCTAGGGGTCTATGCTAGTGTCATTAATGTTTGGAGGGATTGAAACTGTATTTTAGCCTCTGAAGGAATTCCACTCACTGCAGGTGCACCTCCTTGTCGCTGCGTCTGGGAATTAGCTTTGGCCTCCTCTGGCACCCCCTTCTGCCCGTCATTTGCACTGTAGCCCCTCTCTCCATAACTCAGGGTCCTCCCTTCTCACCATTTGGCCCTCCAGCCAGGTCACTATGTAATCCCCTTTTTCCAGGGTAACATCGTCCCACTGGACAAGCTGTCTAGATGCTATCTCAGATGGTCTCCAGGTCCTGTGCCACTTCCCAGTGCCTGGTAGGGGAACCTGGGTACATCCCCTATGCTGCGTTCCAGCCTAGGGACCCTGTGACTAGTAACCTACGTCTGCTCAGTCTCAGTCCTTCTTGCTGTTTCCCTGGGCTCCTTCCTAACCCAGCTCTCTATCTCCTTGCCTATCTCTGGATTTACTCCTGGAGATTCCTCTGCTCCCCATGGTTACTTCACCATTATCAGCCTCTTACCAGACTCCCCAGTCCAGGACAGGACCCCAGGATTCTCTTTCTTATTCCTGGCCAGCTCTCTTTTCCTCTCGGGAGTGACTGCAAATCTCATCTCTATGGCCTCTTTCTGCTCTCACTTCCTGGCTTATACTGTTAGCCCAGCTCCTTCCCCCATTAGGCCTTATCAAGCCCTGGTTCCCCTCCAGCTGCAGCATATAAGGTTAATTAATCCTGTCTGGCCCCCATTAACCCGCTCAGGGCTTGTGTAGGGTGGACGCCCCATCACGTAGCCATTGCATATTTAGCTGTCTCCCATGGGTCCAGCAACCTTCCCTTGCTAAATCCTTGGTGCAACGATCTGCTAACTGTGAAAGTTTCCTTTTTACTGACTTTCTGCAAATACAAAGTCACATCACTAATAATTTCATGTGCATTCTGCTCCGAGGTGCGTGTGCGCACAGCCCCTCCTTGCCACATGCATCCGAGGGCAGCATCAGAGCCTACATAAGTAGGAAGGGAAACACACAACAACCTGCCGCCTCAGTAAACCGTGATTTCATTACACAGGAAATCCAGAGCAGAACTGATTGACTAATATCCGTGGAAGCTTCTTTGACACATTTCTCTCATCAATTCCAAAACAATTTTTCCCCTTTTCAGCCAAGTTCTGCAATAGAGGGCTGGAAAATATTCTTCTAATGACATTTTTCCCATGCAGCTGGCCACTAAGATTTTCCTATTGTTTGACCACAGCTCTGATCAAGAAGATGCACGATATTTGCAGATGGAGTGAAGATGTGGACAAATTGGAGAGAGTCCAGCGGAGGGCAATGAAAATGATTAGGAGGCTGGGACACATGACTTACAAGGAGAGGCTGAGGGAACTGGGGTTATTTAGTCTGCAGAAGAGACAATTGAGTGGGTGGGGAGGGCTGGATTTGATAGCAGCCTTCAACTATCTGCAGGGGGGTTCCAAAGAGGATGGAGCTCGGCTGTTCTCTGTGGTAGATGACAGAACAAGGAGCAATGGTCTCAAGTTGCAGTGGGGGAGGTCTAGGTTGGATATTAGGAAATACTATTTCACTAGGGGGGTAGTGAAGCACTGGAATGGGTTCCCTAGAGAGGTGGTGGAGTCTCCATCCTCAAAGGGTTTTAAGGTCAGGCTTAACAAAGCCTTGGCTGGGATGATTTAGTTGGGGTTGGTGCTGCTTTGAGCAGGAGGTTGGACTAGATGACCTCCTGAGGTCTCTTCCAACCCTAATAGTCTGTGATTCTATGTGTGAACAGGAACAGGGGAAATTATGCCACGTAGGATATGCCTGCTGGCGCTGTAAATTTCAGCAACGGGAGACATACTTGTGCTAGCTCTGATCAAATTAGGATACTAAAATCAGAGTGTAGGCAGTGGGATGGGCTAGCAGCCCTGAGAACAGTCTTCTCTGAGACATGGGGTGTGTATTCAGGCAGCTAGCTACTCATGCTGCTGGGGCAAACCTATTTTTAGTGCACTAGCTCAATCAGAGCTAGCATGTGTGTGTCTCCTTGTGCTGGCAATTACACCTCCAGCTTTAAGTGTAGACCTAGCCTTAGTGAAAGACAGTTAGACAATAATACCAATAAAGCGTATCCATGCTCAGAGATGCCAGGGTGTCGTCCTGAGATAGTATTTGCATTACAATGGTACCTAGCAGCTCCAGTCATGTACCCCGTTGTGGTCAGCGCTGTACAAACACAGAACAGACAGACAGCCCCTTCTCCAAAGAACTAAGAATCTAAAGAGAAGTCATTTCACTCCCCACCTCTGGAACTGTTAGTCCTGCTGCTACAGTGGGTATTCTTGGCTGAACGCCCCTTCCCTGCAAGGAGCATGATGGGCTGGAATGAAACTAGGTCCCTCCCAGGGTGAGACTGCGATGACTTGAGGAAGATATAGGATTTGCAAACAAAGGCTGGGGGTAGGGGTGGGCGTTGGGGGTTGGGGGGAAGAAAAAGCAGCATGATCTTCATTTTCAAACCCCTGCCCCCCGGATAAAAACGAAACTCCCATCCATCCATTTTCTTTTTCTCCGCCCGAACGCGCCCCCACCACAGCCCACTTGTTTCTCCCCTTAGCGATTCTAAAGAGCTGGCTGGGGAGAGGAGGCAAACACTGCCTTTGCAGGTGCTGGCTGCTGCTGTGAAAAAGTACCTTCTCTCTCACACTAGAAGCGCTTTCTATATAAATATGGGTATAAACACGCTCTGGCCAATCGCTGTGCAGAACTCTCAGGCCCTCTGGAGTGCTCACAGCTTGCCCAGTGCCCGCCGTGTTCCCCAGTTCTTTGTAGTATTTTTAGCTCAGTTGGCACTGGCAAGGTGCAGACGAGAACAGCCCAGGCCTGATAAGAAGCATATAAAAGGGATCTGTGAACCACCAGCATTTGCCTGACCTTGGCAGACCGCAGCGAGACAGGGACACATAGCAACTAGGGAGGTAAGTAAAACCAACTATTGCTAAACCTCGGCTTCCACCTATGACTGCAGCACGCTTGCCCGTCCTCAGGGAGCAGGACGTGGCTATTTAGCACATAGTATTTGAAGAAAAACGGGCAGAGGCCAGACTTGGTCATGGTCATTGATTGAGCGTAAGGCTGGGCTCTCAGGCGCTGTTCTATATTTGTTTTCTAAGCTATGTTAGTCGGTGCTGTCATTCTGACACAAACTAATTCCCACGGCACAAGGGGCAGATGACTGCAGCTTGACGTTTCGCATTTCAGCTGCTTTCTTCATTGACCTATCACTCCACACACTAACCTCAAGTTCTCTGCATCCCAGTGGGTTTCTCTTCTGCTCACAGACTGGCCAAGGGCCTGCCCCATCCCAGAGCTCACCGGTACTCCACGGTCAGCCAGTCATCAAGAGATGGCAGGGGCTCTGCCTCCTTGCCTGAGCTATGGGAGTGTCTGAAGGTTTTTCCTTTGGCTATGTACATGTATAAGCTGTCTCAGCTATGACCCATTTTGTGACACAGAGCAAATACAGAAACAGCAAATACATCGAGTTGCCCCCTAGCTGCGAGGGGGTTGTTATAGGCTCTCTGAGTGATTTTCCAGGCATCGGACTGATTGTCCTGGGAACCGAGTCATAGAAATGGAAAAGATCTGTAGGTCCTCTCCCTTCTCCCTCAAGGTCCTGTTAACCCCCAGCTCAGGTACAGCGTGAGCAGCAGCAGTGCAAGCTTTCCCAGCAGGGCCCCAGGAACACAATTTGGTCCTGATTGCTGGGGGAAGAGTCATTGCTGTTTCCAGCCTCCTGGCAGGGCTGCCCGTAAGGGAGCCAGCTAGCGCTGCTTGGGGTGGTGAGTCTTTATGAGGTGGACAACTGTGCCCCTCCACACTGGCTAGATGCCCCAAGGCAAATCGCAAAGCCATTCTAGCTCTGTGATTCCTTTACCTACAAGCAAGGCTACTGCCTCCCCAGGCAGGAAACGGGAAAGCCCTGCCCGTGGTTTTTGAAGCTTCAAGACTGAGCCCCTGGCCGTGAGCCAAAAGATAACGCAACCGGCTTTTCCTCCCTATTGAAGGGGAGGAGGTTTGCCAGAGTTATTTTTCAAATTCAAATAGCAGCCCATCCCCTTAGAACCCAGCCTTATCTCCAGAGCTGGGGACACGTCTCTATGCAACAGACTTCATATTCATACCAGTATTTCAGTGTTATTCCGTCCACAGCTGGAGCAGGAGAAAGGCCATTTGCAGTGACTGGTTAAACGGGCATCTGCAGTGGCTGGGTGTAGAAAGAGGTTATCCTGGAGAGAGTCCAGCGGAGGGCAACGAAAATAATTAGGGGGCTGGGGCACACGACTTACGAGGAGAGGCTGAGGGAACTGGGCTTATTTAGTCCGCAGAAGAGAAAAGTGAGGGGGGATTTGATACAAAAGCCTTCAACTGCCTGAAAGGGGGGTTCCAAAGAGGATGGAGCTCGGCTGTTCTCAGTGGTAGCAGATGACGGAACAAGGAGCAATGGTCTCAAGTTGCAGTGGGGGAGGTCTAGGTTGGATATTAGGAAAAACTATTTCATTAGGAGGGTGGTGAAGCACTGGAATGGGTTACCTAGGAAGGTGGTGGAATCTCCATCCTTAGAGGTTTTTAAAGCCTGGCATGACAAAGCCCTGGCTGGGATGATTTAGTTGGGGTTGGTCCTGCTTTGAGCTGGGGATTGGACTAGATGACCTCCTGAGGTTTCTTCCAACCCTAATCCTCTATGATTCTATGGAGGCTGCCAGCCTGTCAAAGGCAACAGGGCTACAGCATGTCACTTGTCAAGAAGGAGGTTGCATGTCACTCTCCAACAGCCACTAACATAAATGATCCCACCACTGACAACAGTTTCTTGTATGTTGCTATGTGCTCGCTGGAACAAATGCTTTACGTGCAGCACATCACAGGCACCAGGACACTACATTCACCAGGAACCATGCTGAAGAATCAAAACAGCAGCTTGTCCCACTTCTGGGAACTCGAGCTGGCCTGGAATTTTTCAACTCAACTTTTTTTTTTTTATTATTTCGGTCAGAAAATGCAAATTTGTTGAAACCAAAACTTTTTGCAGAAATGTATCTGTTTGGGCGAAACTTTTGCTGGGAGAATTTCTGGTCAAAACAGAGAGACAGAGAGTGAGAGGGTTAGGGTACTTGCTGGGCTATTGTTGGATGAGAGGGTCTGTCTGTAGCTACAGAATTTTTGGTTCATAGGCTGAACTGAGGAATTGAAGGAAAAATTGGGGGGGTCAAACAAAACCTGTTTGGGGTTTTTTTTAAAACCTTTTTAAAATAAAAGTGAAGTTTGGAAAATTGGAACAAAGCGTTTGGCAACAATAATTTGAAAAGGGTTCAATTGAAATCTCTTCTCACTCTCACTTTTTTAAATTGAAACAATTAGTTACATTTGATTCAAATTTGTGAAATGGTTCAATCAATCTGAATCTGCCTTTTGGGGTGAATAAGTTCTGTTTAAAAATTTTGCAGCTCTAGGTCAATCTGTCAGTCTCTCGTGTTTTTTTCGCTTTTTTTTTGTTTTGTTTTTTTTAAAAGGTCTCATTTTTGTTCTGCATCGGAACAAAACCAAATTCTGAAATCTTCACATATTTTGCAAAACGGAATTCTTGTTTTCCAGCCGGCCCTATTGGGAACCGATGACAAAGCTGGTCCAAGACACAATTCACCTAACCATAAGGAATCCCCACAATTCTTGCTGCTGGCTCGCAGGCTGTACAAGTACAGAATGATATCATTTCACAATGACAGCACTCCAGCGTCTCCCAGGTCAGCCTAGTGACTGTACAAAGTAGATAAGAACAAGAGTGTTACTCATATAATTCTAATTCCCTCTTCTCAGGGGGAGTGATCTTGTGAAATGCTGAGTGTCCTCAGTGCCACCTGGTCTCAATGAGAGGTAAGGCTGCTCAGCACCTAATTGTTATTTATTATTTGTACTACCATAGCACCTAAAGGTCCCAACCCAAGATCAGGGCTCCATTGTTCCAAGCACCTCACAAATGCATAGTGAGAGAGAGAGAGAAAAAGACCTTGCTCTAAAGAGCTTATAGTCTAACCAGACAAGCCAAGATCATGCCGCAGGTCAGAGCTGGGATTGGAACCCAGTCTCCAGCTACCTAGGCCACTGCTTTACCCCCAAAACCACGCTGCCTCCTCTACCTTGTGGGAACTAGTACAGAGAGAGCAAGTTGAGAAAGATTGGGCTTATTTTGCTGTGAGTTCATTGCCAAGTTGACAACTGGTGATTGTCACTGTACCTGCTAGCTAGCCAAAGCCAAAGTTTCAGAACTGGACTCTCTGGCTCTCACTCATCAACCTGCATACCAACCTGTATTTCCAGGCGCTAGCTGGTGCATACAAACTGAACCACTAGCTGCTTCCGTTTACGCTACAAATGAGCGAACAGGTGGGCACGAAAAATTTGCCTGTGTACATTTAGAAGCTGGGCTGCAGCCAGCTTTAGATGCAGTCCTAAAGTAAATCTAGACCATGTGGTGTCTTCAGGCTGTGGGGTCAACCCATAAGCTGAATGGTTCTGCTCTTGGCAAACCCTCTATGAGAGGTTGCATCATAGAGAGCTCCTCAGAGCATCATACACTGAACCATTACTGTAAAGCACCTACATAGGGAAGAGTGCAACTAGCTAATAAAATGGCAGCTACTATGAAGGTAGTGGGGAAGTATCCTACTAACATGAAAGGGGATTCTCAATGGCTGAGATGCACATTGAAAAGGCTGAAAGAAGGTGTAAATCACACCCATTTGGGCTCCTCTGGGAGCTCACATTTGCTGCCCTTGGCCCAGTTCATGGGCAGGCAAATTAAGTGTAAGGGACAGCGTTGTATCCTTCAGGAGGGTATTAGATTATTATGTATATTGCACTAACACCTAGAACAGGTGTCTCTCATTCATGGTCTCCCCCATCTGGTGGTGGGATGCAGTCTGTGCACGCCCTGCGCACCAGAGCCGCAGAGTTCCAGACAGGGAGCATCCTGATTCTCTACCAGTGGAGCTAAGGGGAAGTCTCTCCTTGGCCAAACCAGCAGGAGCTGCACCATGCTTGTCTTGCATGCAAGACCCTCTTTGCAAGTCTTGCTGTGATGGCCAGCCACCTCACTCACCCACCAATGGAGCTGCCTCGGCAGGCCGGGGAAAGAATCACCCCTTTAAAGCAGACAGCAGGGTAGCACAGCGATGACTGACGTGCCATTTCATTGGAAGAGTCAGGCAAGAGTTCGAGTAGTTGCTGAAAATCCACTCTGCCTCTGCATGCAAGGAGCCGGAGGGATCCGGCGAGTGACACTTCTGGGCTGCACTGTGAGTGCTTCACAGCACGACATGCTTTTTGCATTTCACAAACAGTCACTTTGATATTAAAAACCAGAAACAAACCCAACCTAATAACAAGCAGCACTTGGCAGCCTTCCCCAGTCATGGAGGGAAGTAGAGCTGGGGCAAGAGGGGATTTTTCAGTTCACTGCCAAAGCCCCCCACACAAATGGTTTGGGGTCAAACTGGGAATGAAATTTTTCAGCAATTTTGGTGAATCGAAGAACTGGGAAAAAATAATGTGGGTCAAACTAAACCGTTGGATTCAGTTTTGTCAAAATGAAACCAGACAAAACATTTTGTTTCTATTCTGACCATTTTTAAAGGGTTTTGACGATTTTAATAAACCGGGAGGAAGGTTTGAAAGGGAAAGAATGGAAAAATCAAAAGGTTCCATTTCAAAAGTGTCAGAATTTGTTTCAGAATTTTTTATTTTGTTTTTTTGTTGTTGTTTTGGTTGGGCTTTTTTTACACAAATTTGATGGACCTGACACGAAGTTGCAAAGTGTCTTGATGTCACTGCATGTTTCGCTGACACACACCCCCCCCAGCACCAGTGGGAAGGCTTAAAGCGCACAGGAACAAGTTCTGGGAGTGCTTTCCCATCTATGGGATTAACCCACTGTGACGAAGTGGGAATGTTCTTAATGGTTTCTCTGAACACTGTGTGGGTGCCTCAGTTTCCCCTAGGCATTTCTTCAGTATCTAGGTGGTGGGATAAGGGTGGTGTGATTGTTGCAGAGCCTGAGAGGGCCAGTGTGAAGCTGTCTGCACAGAGAATGGCTGACACCCTGTCTCCTGGCAACTGATGGTCTGGGCCCCTCCCCTGCAAAGGTGACAATTGAAGGGGTTGGAGAACAAAGAGATCAGGTGGCCTCCTGGACTGGGAAAGAGATAAAGGCCAGAGGAGGGGCTGGAGAGTTTCAGTTTGGAGCTGACTGGGGAAAGAGAGGGAGGTCCAGACCCGGTGTCTGGCCTCCCTGGCCCCAAGATAGACCTGACTGAGGGGTCCTGTTTCCCGTACCTACAAGCTCTGTTTTGGACTGTGTTCCTGTTGTCTAATAAACCTTCTGTTTTACTGGCTGGCTGAGAGTCATGTCTGTCTGCGGAGTTGGGGTGCAGGGCCCTCTGGCTTCCCCAGGAGCCCTGTCTGTGCAGACTCACAGCGGGAAGCGCACAGTGTAAAAAGCGGATGCTGAATGCTCCGAGGTCAGACCCAGGAAGGTCGAAGCCATGTAAGTTTCTTGCCCTGGAGACAGTCTTCTCACAGAGAGGAGGCATGCTCCCCCAGAGTCCTGACTGGCTTTGTATGGAGTAGTTCCAGAGCATTGCCCAGTGACTCCGTGACACCCACCAATCCTGTAAGTCTGGGGTCAGGCCTTTCATTCCACTCCCCAACCCACACCCCTGTCCCCCTTCCAGCCATAAGCAGTAACAGAAAACAAAACCGCTATATTAAACCAAAATGTGATGGAGCAAGAGGTAATGCTGTTCTACAGATACCAAGTAGCTTAATGAAACTGAAGGCATCAAATAAACTTTTGTGGGATAATTTTCACACCTGGGTGCCAAAATACCCATTTCAGGCACTCAAGTGTTAATTGCATGGAGTACTGGCTTGGCTCAGCCCGGCTCTAACATAGGGGGATGTACCAAATTGTTATTCTAATATTACAGAGGGGAAACTGAGACACGACTATGCCCAAGAACACATACGGAGGCACTGTTAGAGCCAAGAACAGATCCCAGCCCTGGATGGGAGCAACAACACCCAATAAGCTTAAATACCTCTATCAATTTCCCTTTGACTCTTTCTTCCCAGCTAAATTTCCCTGGTTTGACATCCTTAAAAATTCTCCTGTGCCTGGAAATGGCTTTGCAATAGACTGTGGGGTGATTCCAGCTCACCTTTGCTCTTCTCTTACCGGCGGGAACCTTCAGTGCTGTGGGTTGCAGCTCCAAAGCATCAAATACAGAGTGACTCTACTTACACAGGCTGGTGATGCAGAGTAAATATTTCCTTTGAACAGGAATCATAGAATCATAGAATATCAGGGTTGGAAGGGACCTCAGGAGGTCATCTAGTCCAACCCCCTGCTCAAAGCAGGACCGATCCCCAATTAAATCATCCCAGCCAGGGCTTTGTCAAGCCTGACTTTAAAAACTTCTATGGAAGGAGATTCCACCACCACCCTAGGTAACGCATTCCAGTGTTTCACCACCCTCCTAGTGAAAAAGTTTTTCCTAATATCCAACCTAAATCTCCCCCACTGCAACTTGAGACCATTACTCCTTGTCCTGTCATCCACTACCACTGAGAATAGTCTAGATCCATCCTCTTTGGAACCACCTTTCAGGTAGTTGAAAGCAGCTATCAAATCTCCCCTCATTCTTCTCTTCTGTAGACTAAACAATCCCAGTTCCCTCAGCCTCTCTTCGTAAGTCATGTGTTCCAGTCCCCTAATCATTTTTGTTTCTACCTTTTCTTCACAGACCTTCACAGTTACTCCACCGAACTGCCATCTGGACAAATGAAGATGGACTGCGACTCTGGCAAGTCATTCAAACCCCAGGGTGTCAAAGTGAGCAAATCTATGTCTACCATTTGCTCTTCCTCAAGTAATGCCAACTGCCATGAAAGCCACCCCATCCAAGGCCCTGCGAGGCAAGCTCAGGGTAGGAACCACAGTGAAAAACTGTCCCCGTCCCCAGATATCATGTCAGCTGCCGCTAGAGAGAGTCAAATATCAGACTTCTATAATGGCAATGTGGCCCTGGGGTGCCCCTCTGACACCTCGGAGAAGTTCCACCAAAGGGTTGCCAAGGAGAGCAGGTGGAATGGGGAGACCACTCCGAAGGAAATCATGGCAACAAAGAGAATAGCCAATGCCCCCAAGGATTCTCCCATCAAGCGTACTTTCCTGTTTGGGGAAAACAAAATTGACAACGGCAGCAAGATGTCCCTGAAGAAATCTACTGTCCATAAGCTGCCTGAGAAGGGTTGTTCTCCGCTAGCTGTTTCCAGAGAAGGGCCGGATGGCTTGAGAGGAGAGACACAGGCATGGTCCAGCGTGACCCAGAGAAAGAAAAGGCGAGACCTTTTCCCAGACTCAAAGGTTTTCAGCCACATAGACGCTCATGTTCTGCGTGTGAGCGAGCAGGTAGGTACTGTAGGCACAAGCTTCCTCCAAGGTCTATATTGATATTGTTAATGAGAAACCAGCCTTTTAATGCTTTGGCTAATGATGAGCCAGCTTTCTGCCTTATGAGTTGAGAGAAAAATCACAACGGGAGGCTGCTGTTGGCATGAACAAATGGCTTTCCTCGCCAGCAGAATTAAAAGAAGGGCCAAGGCGTGTGGCCTTGGGTCAGCCTAAGATGCAAACACACTTATTGTTCGTAACAGGTTCTTTTGCTGAGACAGCTACATAAGAAATTGTATTGAGTTGGTGAAGTATGCACAGATGTATGAGCTTTGATTAGTACAGACAAGTACAATTGAAATCGTAAGCAAAGATTACACAAAGAGTAGAATAAATATAACCCCCTGGATCATACATATGTACAGATAATTCCCCCCCAGTCGATATATTTACAGCCATGTGCATACTTACAACTTTATGGTGGCCATTAGAGACAAAGATGAACAAAATAGGAAATGGAGATCACCACAAGAGGGCTTGTTCGTATTCCGCCATTCAGTTGTCCCTGGTGTCCCAACCAGGTGTTGGTCTGACCGTCTTTTCCTTATATCCCTCCCACATCTGGGAGAATATTTGGTTTAGGTCTCAGCCCTTTGCCCAGGTTTAGTATTGCGGGACCATAATCAGGGATATGGCTGCTAACAAAAGCTATTTTTGTCACTTCATTTCCAACAGTTTTGATACGTGAATGTGGTTTCTCTGTGGTTACATGTACCAAAAAAAAACCCCCAAGAAACCCCTAGAGGTCTGTTATTTCAAGCTTAAGCTGCCCTTTTGTGGTTTACTTGATTATCACAAGATGCCTATTGCTAACTGTTATAATGCACTTCAAGCTAACTGTCTAGGCCTCATGCTTTGCAAATCCTTTCACAAAGCTTTTTACATTTGCTTTCCATGTTAAAATGGGTTAAGATAGTAAAATTAGTAGAGCTGTAATTTAATATGCATTAACACAGGCTATAATTTAAGTTTGCACCCTAAAATCAGGTCGGGGTTAGCAGTCAACAGGTGACTAGTTGGCTGGGGTGCCCACCTGAGACACCTCAGATGGGCCTATTCTCCAGAAAAAACACTGAGTACTCTAAAAACCAGGTCCCTTTTAAGGTGTCAGGTAAGGCACCCAAAACCAGCCACATCTGGAAATCTTGGTCCCAGTTGACTTGAGCTAAGAAGAGTCTCCATTAGAGACTTGTAGTCAGGCTCATACTGTATTGAGTAGTTCATGCCATGACTGTTAAGTCTGGGCCAAAGCTTAAGGAGATCCCATGTGATAAGATGAGGCAGCAAATAGTTGTGCTTAGGTAATTGGGGCTAGAGAGCCAGTGTCTTTCTTGTCCAGAAAAGAGAGAGCGAGAGAGAGCACCAGAAACAACCCCAGGTTTCAGAGGAACAGCCGTGTTAGTCTGTATTCGCAAAAAGAAAAGGAGTACTTGTGGCACCTTAGAGACTAACCAATTTATTTGAGCATGAGCTTTCGTGAGCTACAGCTCACTTCATCGGATGTATACCGTGGAAACTGCAGCAGACTTTATATATACACAGAGAATATGAAACAATACCTCCTCCCACCCACTGTCCTGCTGGTAATAGCTTAGATAATAGATAAGCTATTACCAGCAGGACAGTGGGGTGGGAGGAGGTATTGTTTCATATTCTCTGTGTATATATAAAGTCTGCTGCAGTTTCCACGGTATACATCCGATGAAGTGAGCTGTAGCTCACGAAAGCTCATGCTCAAATAAATTGGTTAGTCTCTAAGGTGCCACAAGTACTCCTTTTCTTTTTGAGAAACAACCCCAGGGTCTGTCTGTGTCCAGCAGCTGCAATACAGAATCCCTTTTCTATCCAATACACCTAAGTCCTGCTCATTCTCAACCATGAGGCATTCTACTGGATCCTCTTTCCAGGCCGACCACTGGACAGACAATCAGAAGCTCATAAACTCTAAACTGGGTGTAAGTTTCAAACCAGCTCCCTGACACATTTCACCACATGAGGTTTGGAGAATGGGGCTCCATAAGGTCTAAACTTTAACTGCAGTTGTGGAATGATACATGTTTGACTGTGTAAGAGGTCCAGGGATTGTCACACAAACAATTACCTACGCTAAACACCACCAGGTTAGCCTCAAGACCTCCATAATGTGTCAAAGATCCAACAGTTTAATTGGCAACCTTTTGTTACTTACGCACCAAATGTTAAGTAGAGAGAAGGCAAAAGTTCAATTATTTACTCGGCACTGAAAGTAATTGCTCTCCCTGTTCTGTAGAAATCTGTCATTCATACCCAGCCGCAGGCTAACATCGCTTGGGATTTGGAGGCAATTAGTTTTGTCTCCATGCAAGCTTTGCTTCAGGACCATGGAGATTACCTCATATGCTACAACGGAGCTTGGGAGAGACGGAGGCAACAGCAAAAAACACAGTAAAGGCACCCCTGGGAATAGAGAGCTGTACAAACCACCCACCTGCTTATTTAAAATACTGAATGTACTGCAATCTGGTGCACTTTGTCATTTTCCCCTCTCCGCAGTTATTATTGTGAATGCTGACAACAGTAAAGCAACTATCTGCATTGCAGATGTGCATGGGTCCAGTGCATTCTGCCAGTGAGGGATCACCGCTGTTCAGTGGCCCAGGTCTTCTCTGGGGTCAGGAACTGCCTCCACCTCTCCCCACATGCCAACCTAGAGGACAGCTCTCCAGAACGAGCTTCTCTCCGCAAGAGACCCAACAGGGAGCCCTTGAACGTTAGACTCAAAGCTAAATCAGGCCTTAAGCCAGCTGGGAGCAGTGCCATTGACCTCAGTGGGGCTATTTGCATATAGGGTTTCTCCTGTGAGTCAGGCTTTGTGTGTGGAGGGGGGAGTTTGGGAGGAGGGAACCCAGTCACTCAATCCAGAGTGGTCAAGTGGAGCCACTGGACCTGTTTACCTAGCACCTAGAAACCGTGGCCCAGATTCTCAGCTGTGTCCAGTAACTACAGAAATGATCAGAAGCAGGGACTGCCTAGGAGCTGCTTGGAGATGCCCATTTCTGGGATCTGTTCTAGCCAGCTCTGGCCCAAGTGGAGTTTAGAGCAACCTTGGGGCTGCTCCATGCCGCATGATGACTCACTCATGCTGTGTGAATCCCCAGCTAGCAAGTTCTAGCCATGTTCTGACCCTTTTACACCAGGGGACGATGCAAAGGAACCAGCACTACAAGTGAGTCTGGCCCTACCGTGAGCACCATACAAAAGGACAGACATTAATGCATGTTGTGGCTCGTGATACACATTCAAGTTGCTCACATAAAATCCTGTCCTTGCCAGATAAAATCAAAGCCGGCTTTGCCGTCAGTCCAGACCATTGTTCAGCTGATTACTGATGAGGCCCAAAGCAAACTGGAGACCGTGCGAGCAATATGGATATGGCTGTGTCACAATATCCGTGAGTACGTTTTTCATTTCAGCTCGACCCATAGTAGGGTGATTTGTCTAGATTGAGGAGGATGGTCATTAGGAACTAGCCTAGGCCTTGGGAGCCCCAGGCTTGATTCACCAGAAAATTTGCTAGTGGTACCCCAATTTACACCAGCTGAGGATCTGTCCCCAAGGCTCTTTACCAATTCTTCTTTCATTTGGGGAGTTGCCAGGGCCTCTGGATAATGGTTGTGGTTTCATTTCCTCCTCCTAGGATATGATGTGGATGGCTTCTTAGGGTTATCTCAGAAGATCCATACCCCAGAACAGGTCCGGCAAACTGGAAGAGGCGTGTGCTCCGGTTATGCCCATTTATGCCGAGAAATGTGCAGGTATAAATTAACCGTGGTCTTACCATCCCACCAACACAGTGAGAGTGGCTGGCACTGCTGGACAAAACATGTTATGTGTTTATTTCCGTACTACATTACATCCATTCACAGGGTGCCCTGCTCTCTCCTGGAGACTTGACTTTTGTTCTTTCTTGTTTTTGTCATGCTCTTATTCCAAAATAAAAGTCATTCTGTCTGAATGAACCGTGACCTACGCAAAGAACAAAGAAAGAATTGGGAAGGTCATTGCTGATCCTCAGAGCTAGCAAGCTCCACTAAGGGGCTATTAAAGCAATGGAGGTGCAGGCCCTGAGCTCAACAGCAACCATATGACCATAAACATCCTGGAAAGGAGACTACAGAAGTCTGAGCTATCATGTCATCTGAGTGGCCAGCAGTTAATTAAGCACCAACTCTGAGTGGTTTCCAGCCTAATCTGTGCTTTCCTACCATGAATGTTCCCATCCTTACAGGGAGGCAGGTGTGAGCTGCATTGAAGTGTCGGGCTACGGGAGAGGTACCGGATACCAACAAGGGCAAAATTGCCAACAAAAGAAATCCAACCACATGTGGAATGCAGTTCAGCTGGAAGGACAGTGGTACCTGCTGGATGCATGCTGGGGTGCAGGCACTGTGGATGCAGAGAAGAGATTGTTTATACCCAGGTGAGACACTGACCCCTCCATAACCTCTCGTTTCTCATTTCCAAACATAAAGAAAGCCACTTATTTTGGATGTGACTAAATTAGCCATTCTCAGCCTTTCCATACTGTGACTCCATGTTACAACAGAAAAAAGGTCCAGGGTCCCCACCCTCCCTCTCATCTAGTCCTCAAGAAAGGGATGGTAACTGCAAATCCCTGAAACCTGAACACAGACCTTACCCCCAGCGATCACCAGGCCCCCCCCCGGTTGACACCCCATGGCCTAGAACACTGGAGAGACACTTTTATTTAATACTGTACATGTAAATCAGTAAGTCCTATACATCAACCACCTGGGCTCATTCTACGGTGATCTGTGGATCACAGCAGGAAATTAGGAATCAGTATTTCTGGATGCTATCCCTGCCTCACCCTGCCCATATAACTTCCCACAGCATTCCACATAGAGAATCATGAGCTAGATCCCACAGCATTCAAAACAATGGATGTTTTGCAATTGACTTGAACAGAAGGAGAATCAAACCCTATATGGGGATGGACAGGGATGGCATATATAGAGGTGGATTCATTTTGGAATCCATCTCTAAGCCACTAAAGAAGATGAAGCTAGTTTCCTCCTTCCACCCACAAATCATTCTAAAATAGATGCTGCTATGTATGGATTTGCACTCCGTGGTTGGAGTGCCTTGTGGACCTAAAGATTTGATCCAAAGCCTATTAAAATTGCCACACTGATTTCAATGAGATTTGGATCAAGCCATAGGTGGGAACCTAACCAAATACTACAACCCACTTTGAAACACAATATTGGGTATCTGGCAGGTGAAAATCTGAAAAGTTAGGACCAGAATGCATGTTTTTATTTAAAATGCAGTTTTGAAAGTCATGCTTTTGTAAATACAGATTTTTAAAGAATAGTCAAATAATACCTTTTCTCCCACCCTGAGTTTTTGATTAAAAATGTGTCAGCATGTAAGTAATTAATCTCCAGTTCCACAGCCATTTTATTATTATGAGGCTCTAGACAGAATTGCTGGCGGTTTCTCAGCCCATTCTGACGAGGTAAATAATGACTGAGTCAAAATTATTTATCAAATCTGATAATATTCCATTAGACATTAGAAACTTGACTTTTTTTTTACTCTACTGCTGCATAATGAAAGCATTGGCCATTGGCAATTCTTTTCCTTGGAACAACTTCTGAATAGTATCAGCTTGTTTGGGTTGTTTTTGAAGAGTGGAGAGGGAAAGAGTGGAACAGACAGCTATTGTCTCAGGGAACAGGCAAATGATAACTGCTCCCTCTGGGTTCAGTCCAAAGCTCACTGGAAGTAGTAGGCATTGGTCCAGTTGGTTAAGTCCTGATGAACCTATCCTGTATGGTGATGAGTGCCCTCAACGCCTGTTGAAGTCAATGGAAGTAGAGGGCCCTCAGCAAATCACAGGATCAGACCCTAACTTGAGCGCTAGGCCCGCTCTGCTTTTTAATACTGATTCCAAATCTCCTGCCATGACTCAAAGGTCACAGTAGAATGAGTCAAGTTGGATGATGTACAGGCGTTATTTGTTCATTTGGTTCTGCTTCTACAAAGGCATAACAGTGAGGACGATCAACCGTTGGAGTGACTTAAAACCAAGCCGGGACGTCTTACTAAAATATCTGATCAAGCTCAACCATAAGTAGTGGGGCTTGTTGCAGGTATCAGTGGATAAAATTCAATGCCCTGTATTGTGCCGAAGGTCAGAATGGATGATCATAAATGGTCTCTTCTGGCCTTGGAATCTAGGCATTCTGCTTTCAGCACTAGGCATCTCAATATGCGTATAATTATCCATGAATAAATTTAGGCTGCAAGTCAGAAGAAGGTTTCTAACCATCAGAAGAGTGAGGTTCTGGAGCAGCCCCCCAGTAGGAGGAATGCGGGCAAGAAATCTAAGTGCTTAAAGATGGAGCTTGGTAAATTTATGAATGAGATAATGTGAAGGGATTGCTTGCATAGCAGGGGACTGGACTCAGTGGGCCAGGAGGTCCCTTCCAATCCCATGTTCTTAGTACTAGAAAGATACAGACAAAACTTGTGTTGGAAGAGCACTAAGCGGCCAGAAGAACTGGTTTGTGAGGAAAAATTAAAGGAACAAAACATATATAGTGTGGTTGAGTGACAACAATTAAGCAGGAGGATTAAGATAACTGCTTCAATACCTGAAGGGTGATAAAACCCTAAATGGAGAGGAATTGTTTAAGGTAGTTCATGGAGGTATGGGAAAAAAACTTCTGGACAGTGAGATCTTATGGATTGTGGAAGAAAATATCATAGAAGCCCCCCCAAGTCCCACTGTACTGTCCAAGGGAACTGAACAAGATGACTTCATGAGCCCATAGGTGACTCTCTCACATGTATGATTCCATGGTATTATACTTAGCCAAGGTACAAAAAAGATTTTATTGGGGGCCTGCAAAGATTTTTCAGAGTTAATGTACCAGATGGGTGTGAAAGGCAATCTGCAGCTGAGGCCGAAGGTCACAAATTCTAGTGGGGCCTCTGGAGAGAACTTATGGAGGAAATGGGTTCAGAATGATGAGGCGATGAAAGGCCAAAGCCCTGGATTCTGAATTTAAGCCCAGAAAGCAGCATGATCCTACACACGTTCCAAATGACGTTACATGTCTGTGCGCTAAACCTGAGGCCGCATTCACCCCTTGTTTAAGCAGATCCAACTCTGCTGAAGTCCATGGTGCTGTATCCTCAGACTTCAGTGCTGAAGGAGGGGGCTGGGATATGAACGTTTGCAGTGTCCTCATGCTGTGGCCTGGTTTCCCTACTCTTGCAGGTATGACGACTTCTTCTTTCTAACCGACCCTGAGCATTTCATTGAGACCCACTGGCCTGATGAGCCAGAATGGCAGCTTGTGCAGCCGCGTGTCTCGCTGGAAGACTTTGAACAGAGAGTTTTTAAAACGTCGGAGTTTTTTAAACTGCAGCTCTCCCTTCTTTCTCCAAACCACTCCCTTCTCAAAACAGGTAAATGCAAAGCAAGGACCTCCGTTTACAGCCATTGACTCCTAGGTCCTGATTATAAGGTGATATCTTTTTGCAGATATAGACCCCAATTCAGGAACAGGGCTTAACTTTAAGCACATGCATGTGTCACATTGAAGCCAATGGGCCTTAAGCGTGGGCTTAAGTGCTTTCCTGAATCGGAGCCATTGTTCAGTACAGTGACTGGAGAACCAGGAGTGAAGATGCCTGAATTGTACTTAATCTGGGCAAGTCACTTAAGCCCTTCTGTGCCTCAGTTTCCCCATCCCTAAAGTAGGTACAATACTACTTCCCTATCTCACAGTACAAATAGCTGTAAGATCCCTGAAACATCTTTTCACAAAGCACTCTGCTAGAGGCAGCCGCATAACAAAAAAGTGGGACATGAGTTTTCTTTCTTCTAATATTGCTGGGATTGCAGCGAGATTACAATATAAAGCATGATTGAAACATTCCTGTCCTATTTCCTGAGGAAGAAGGGTTTTTCCCCAATCAGTGGTAGTTTTATAGCTTTCTGGGTCAGAAACAATATGACCTTTACCTGCTTGAGAATCATTTTTGCAGCTAGTTAGTTTCCCCAATGTTCATCCTCCTTGGCAGTCAGTCAGGTTTTTCTGCCATTTATTTTATCAGAAGGGAAGGCTTCTAGGGAAAAGTAATCTTATAAATTATTACAAGGCTTAAGAAACCGTTCTGAAGAATCAGTGGATTGCTAATAAAGCACAGCGGAAAGCTTTTGATAGAGAGGAGCCATTTAACCGGAAATCCAAGTCATGCCATATTTCAGGAGGTCTGGGCTTTGCTGATAGTGTTGAGCATATACCTTGACTCAAAGATGGAAGATATAGCCCTCCTCCCCCCAACCCTCACAGTGCTCTACAAGTAATGAATCCTTACGACATCCCTGTGGGGTAGGCATGTGTTTGGCCAAGGCATATACATATACATGTCGGTTCTGGGAGGGAGTTTGAGTGTGGGAGGAGGTTTTGACCTGGGGTAGGGGGGTTGGGAGTGGGCTCTGGGAGGGAGTTTGGGTGTAGGAGGCAGCTCAGGGCTGGGGCAGGGGATTGGGGTGTGGGAGGGGATTTGGGGTGTAGGCTCTGACTGGGCAGTGCTTATCTCAGGCAGCTCCTGGAAGCAGCAGCATGTCCAGTAGCGGCTCCTAGTCTTACAGGCGACCAGGTTGCTCTTCGCATTGCCCCTGCCTGCAAGCAGCACTCCTGCAGCTCCCATTGGCCACGGTTTCCCGTTCCCATCCAATGGGAGCTGCGGAGTCAGCACTCGGGGTGGGGGCAGCACACAGAGACCCTCTGGCTGTGCCTCCTCCTAGGAGCTGCTGCTGGACACGTCGCTGCTTCCGGGAGCAGCGCGGAGCCAGGGCAGGTAGGGAGCCTGCCTTAGCCCCTCTGTGCCACCGGACATTCAGTGTCCTAAAATCTCCCGGATTGGCTTCAGTAACCTCCAGGAGATCTAGCCCTATTCTGGGAGACTCATGGCCAATCCGGGAGGGTTGGCAACCCTATTTGTGAGGCGGTAGCAGGAAATAAATTCAGCAGGACACAGCCCATCTGGCCGATAGTTGATGCAAGCAGGAAGACAAAAGTGCTTTCACTCAAAGTTTCTGTTTATTCAGTCTCCAGCACTTACACATGTTGCAATGGGTTAGTAGAGCCCCCCACATTAACCCCAGATTAATATTTACCCAAGGACTTGAAGAGGTCTTGGGTGGATGTCTGTAGACTTCCAGTGGCCAGCCTTCCGTCTGCAGGGGAACTTGAGAGGTGTCCAAGAAATGGTCAAGGTGTTCCAAGTGTTCATGTGTCCACCAACCTCATCTCTTTTCCTTTTTTAATACCCAAATTGTTAGTATTACATAGGTTAGCCATCAGATAAACTGCTGAGCAGAAACTAAGTTAAGTGTGGAGTTTTCCAACCTGGCAGGCAGAGAATTTTCTATCAGTTAACCAGCTGTATTGCACAGAGCAATAGTCATTATAGACTGACCTCACCCTTGGTAAGGCAACTCCCATCTTTTCATGCATTTATACCAGCTCCTGTATTTTCCACTCCATGCATCTGATGAAGTGGGTTCTAGCCCATGAAAGCTTATGCCCACATAAATGTGGGAGTCTCTAAGGTGCCACAAGGACTCCTCATTGTTATTGCCCGACTTTCCATCTTGCACAACTGTATTCTTCAGCTCAAGTCAGAAGGCACAGGGTCATGTTTACACCTCATGGTCACTAACTTCCCTCTCCCCTCCTGGTGTGTTAGCTGTGCTAAAGTTTCAGAAATGGCCTTTCTAGCTGCTTTCAGCAATGAGTATAACAATTGGTATTCCAGCTGCGGGCAGTGGTCTAGGCATGTTATTAGGCTCTGGCCTATCAAAAAAATTCCCCCCTCCTAAGGTAAGATATGGAATTAAAATACATATATGCAGAAACTGCTTTGGAACTCATCTGTGGTTTCACCTACCTTCTCCTATATACAGGAATCTTCAGAATACAGATGGAATAAATTCAGTATTCCCCAGATATGTTTATAATGTATCCTTTAATTATCTTTTAGAGTTTCCCTCCCAAAGCAGAACGTGTTGTTCTCCATATCTCACCATCTTCAGCTTGGTTGAATACAATGTTCTTTTCTTTCTGTCTGTTTAAAGATCCTAATATGATGCAGCCAGCCAGGGCAGCAGCTTAGGAAACGGACGTTGGCCGAATTTAATAACAAGCAAACCTGCAGTTAATAAATTCTGTCATCTGTAAGGTCTCTGGTGGAGACTTGCCAGAGGATTATTGTTTGTACTTACTGCATGAGCCAAGTCACAACTTTAACAAATCAAGGCAAAAAAACCAAAACAAAAACCCCAGCCACTTCACACTTATGTTGGGTGTTTGTGACAAATACCAAAACTCAGGATTTGCACTGAAAATTTCCATTAATTATTTTGATAACGAAACGCTTCCTTTCATATGAAAAGCCTCTGAACCTAGGGCAGATCTACACTATGTTATATTTATATTGCTAGAATGCCCTGAACATCAACAATTTCGTACTTACGTTTCACTAACTTCAAAGATGTAGTAAATTCTGATGGGGGCAGCAGCTGCCCTGAGGCAGCTGCATTTAACAGTGGGTTGAATAGTCCCTGGGTACGCGGAACAGCATCTTCAGCATCTGTTTAACTTTATTCACAGGCTTAAATCCCTTTGAGGCCAGTGGAAGGTAAGCATGTGTTTCAGCACCTTGCTGATCCAAGGTCACAGGTTTTAGAGCACCTTGGTAGCCTTCAGGAGTTAGAGAGACTTTATAGCCTTCCTTCTCTCCAGCCTTTCATCTTGGCTCATAATTTACACCTATGCAGAGATGGGGGGTGCAAAATGCAATTAAACCAGGATGTCTGTGTTTAACTGCACAGGGGTCAAGAACAGCTGATGGAGTGAGGGGACTTGCCAGTTGCTGGAGGGACCCTGAGTAGTGTGTTACATCAGCAAACTCAAATATAACATAAAACAGAGCAGGGGGACTATCAATGAGTGCATCTTGAATTACCTTATGGAACTCTCACACTTCTAAGCCTCAGGAACATCCAGATGCCATCATCCCACACTTCCAAACCAAGAAAATGGATCCTCTTATCCTACAGTGATGGCCAAAGTGTTAAATGCCTTTATTGTTTTAGGTTTCAGAGTAACAGCCGTGTTAGTCTGTATTCGCAAAAAAAAAAAGGGGTACTAGAGGCACCTTAGAGACTAACCAAATTATTTGAGCATAAGCTTTCGTGAGCTACAGAAGTGAGCTGTAGCTCACGAAAGCTTGTGCTCAAATAATTTAGTTAGTCTCTAAGGTGCCACTAGTACTCCTTTTCTTTTATTGTTTTTCACCAAAAAGGTTAGCCATGATCAGACAACTTACATCTTTGTAAATGGGATAAGCTCCGAGACTGAAATAGAGAAAGAACATGTTAAGAATTACTTAGACAACTTAGATATCTTCAAGTCAGCTGGGCCTGACAAAATACATTTTAGAATACTTAAGGAATGCTCTGAAGAGATCTCTGAGCTATTATCTTTAAGGACTCATGGAGGATGGGAGAGATCCCAGAGAACTGGAAAAGGGCAAATAGAGTGCCAACCTATAAAAAGAGGAATAAGGACAACCCAGGGAATTATAACCCGGTCAGCTTAACATTGGTACCCAGAAAGATAATGGAGCAAATAATAAGTTTGTAAGCACCTAGCAGATAAGGTGATAAGTAACAGTCAACATGGATTTGTCAAGAACAAATCATGTCAAACCAACCCAATAGCCTTCTTTCATAGTGTAACAAACGTTGTGGTTGCAGGGTGGGGAGCAGTAGATGTGATATAGCTCAACTTTGTTAAGGCTTTTGATACAGTCTCACATGACCTTCTCATAAGAAAACTAGGGAAATATAGCTTAGATGAACCTGCTATAACGTGGGTGCATAACTGGTTGGAAAACCGTTCCCAGAGAGTAATTATCAGAGACCCACAATCAAGCTGGAAGGGCACTGAGTGGGGCCCTGCAGGAATCTGTCCTGGGTCTGGTTCTGTTCAATGATTTGGATAGTGGCATAGAGAGTACACTTATAAAGTCCGAGGATGATACCAAGCTGGGGTTGCAAGCAATTTGGAGAACAGGCTGAGTATTCAAAATGATCTTAAACTGGCAAAATGGTCTGAAATAAATAGCATGAAATTCAATAAACACAAATGCAAAGTACTACACTTAGGAAGAAATAATCAATGGAACAAATACAGAATGGAAAATGACCGGCTAGAAAGGAGTGCTGTTGTAGCCATGTTGGTCCTAATATATTAGAGCCACAAGGTGGGTTTGGTAATATCTTTTATTGGACTGACTTCTCTTGGTGAAAGAGACAAGCTTTCGAGCTTACACAGAGCTCTTCTGGTCTGGGAACTGTACTCAAAGTGTCACAGCTAAACATAAGGTGGAACAGATTGTTTAGCATAAGTAGTTAACATGTATCCTAAGGGACCATTCAAGGTAATGTGGCCTATTAACAGCCCTGCAGTCATGGCGCAAAAAAGGGGGGTTAATGGGTTTCAGATTGTGATAATAAGCTATAAAGCTAGTGTCTTTATTAAGCCCATGATTTTTAATGTCTAGCAAAGTTATGTGTTTCCTTTAAGAAGGAGGACTGAGAGGTCAGATATGGAGTGATCATTTCGTGGCAAGCGTTCGCCCACAGGTGACGAGGTTTTTCTGTTTTTGTTTTTTGTCTTTTATCACTTTTCTGTGAGATTTCATTCGAGCGCATAGTGATTGACTGGTTTCACCCACACAGTCGTTATTGGGGCATTTACTGCACTGGATAAGGTACACCATTGTTGTGACAGGCATGTGTAGGATCCAGGGGTCTTGAAAGGTGTGTCGTTGTGTGGTGGCATTTATCATTGTAGCAGTGGAGATACGTCTGCAGGTTTGGCATCCGTTGTTCTGGCAGGGTCTGGTGCTGTTTTGAATTGGTGCATCCTAGTCTGTGGGGAGCTTGCTTCTGATGGCGAGCTTGGTGAGGTTGGGGGGTTGTTTGAAGGCCAGAAGAGAGGGAATGGGAAAGATTTCTTTCAGGATGTGGTCCCCATTGAGTATCACTTGTAATTGTTTCGTCATACACCACCTTGTGTGTTCCAGTATGAGGTGGTAGGTAACAGCTAGGGGTGTATGGTCAGAGGGTTGGAGTTTGTTTTTTTCCTGTATTGAGGGAGTTTCACTCTGGATATTGGGTGGCCCATTGCATGATCCGATCTACTTCTCAGATCCAGTTACCACCCCAAACACACTGAGAAATTGGTTATCTACAAGCCCTCAGACACCACAGAACATGCTGCTTAACACACTTAAAACCGCCTTCACCAAACAAGGACACTCCACCAGAAAAGTAGATTGCATCATGCAACAGCAGGATGTTCTTAGTGGCCTAGTGTATCAGGCAGGCCCAGTGTTTCCAGGACCGGAAAATGGGGGCTGGCATGGGGCATACGTAAACCCACCCAAAGAGTAAAAATGCCAGCAGCTGGGAATACTCTGTACCCTACCCCGCCCCCCAACCAAAGGAACATTCACACACAACTTTGCTGCTTCCTTGAACAGAGGAACAGAGTAAAGTATCCAAGATGTTTCAGGCACATCACAGATATCCCAGCTGCCTGGATAGCTATAATTATATGTTTGTATTGCTGTAGTGTCTTGGAGCCCCAGCATGGACCAGTACTCCATGGCGCTAGGTGCTGTACAAACATATACACTATCCATCCTCCTAAAGATCTTTTCCTCGTGTAATAATGTGTAATTCTCTTAAAAGATATTCTGCCTCTGCCTTAAAATACAAGATATGCGCACATATCTGTGTCAAAAGAAAGTTAAAAAGCCAAACAAGAAAGGCTCAAAAAAGGAAAAGGGACTCAGAGGTGTAAATTGCCTCAGGCAATCTAATACATTTGCACAACTCCTCTGTGCTGTGTAGCTGAGCTCTAAGCTGTATAATCAAACAGAATGTTACCCAGGTCATTCATCAGGTACACTCTGTGAAACTCCTGCATTTCCCCTCCTCCTGGTTTAGAGCTGCCTCCCAGACAACAGCACACTGAATTTTTCTATTTAAGGTGACACCTCCCCCGCCAAAAAAAAAAGGGGTGGGGGGGAACTTGTCTGACTACAGTCTGGCTGACTGCTGTGGAATTTCCTCCCAGCTGTGCTGCAATCCTCTGAGCTTCTCAGCTGCTATGATAGCAGCACGTCAGATCTGCACCTCCGGTTCCTGCATCCAGTGGGAGAGCTACTATTAAAGTAATGCTCTGGATGGGACACGGGGTTTGCCACATAAGTCTAATAAGTTCAGGAAACAGCTCCCATTGACAATGGTCACTCTGGAAAGCGACTTAATAACGCTAAAAGCACTTTCCATGTGTAGATCTCGAAGTGCTTTACGAGGGAAAGGCGATTTCATCACTCCCATCTAACTGGTGTGGAAACAGGGGGCACTAAGAGGAGAAGTGACTTACCTCTGGCCACTCAGCTGGTCAGTAAGGGCTGGGTGTAGAACCCAGATTTCCTGACTCCCAGTCCAGTGGTATATATCCAGACTGCTTCCTATTATGTCTGCAAACCTGCCTTTTACTGATGTTACGAAAGAGTGAGGCTTTGGGCTGAGAATTAAGTTTACTGTGATCCTCACACTGAACTGTGATCTTAAGTGTTTCACCCCTTCCCCTTCCTACAGAACACGGGGAAGCAACAGTGTCTCTGAGGAGCACACATCCAGCAGAATTTAGCTACCATCTCTCCAAGCTCTGTGGCAACGTTAGCAAAGAAGCTTTAGGCACGACTCATGGGATGCTGACAGTGTCTGAGAAGAGCATGACTCTCAAAGTTCTCCCCCCTACGGAGGGCTTGTTTGAGCTGATGATCTTCGCGCGGCCGGCGGACACTCAGAACCCCTATAGCTGGGTGTGTTCCTATCAGATCAAGTGCCTGGAGTCACACAAGAAAGAACTGCCTGAAAACCCCTTTCATTTCTGGGGCCTCCATCCGAAGGGGAAAGACTTTGGGATCGAGGAGAGCAACTGCGGCGAGGACCTGATTGTTGTTGCAACAGGAACTTTGCTGTTGACGCTACAGACATCTAGACCCTTGCTGGCCACGTACCAGCTGGTGAATAAAGATCTAGACACCTCCCTGAGCATGAAGTGCCTGGCCTCTCAAGCAGAGGAGGAGAAGCTGAGTTGCCACGTGTTGTGTCCTTTTCTGGGTTACTACAGACTCTCTGTGTTTGTGAAAGATTTAGGAGGTGACCTGTTCAAAAATGCAGCCAACTTCCTCATTCGTTGCTCTGGTCCCATCAACCAGAACGAGCTCTTCCCATCTGGCCTCAGCATGCACTGTGGGACAGGGATCAGCACTGGCTGTAGGGGCTTTTCTAACCCCAGCCACCCTGCCCCCATCATCAACACCAACCAGGGTAAGTGCAACATCACGTTCCACACCCGGTCGGACACCGAAGTGGCCGCCATCCTGAGTAAGGACAAAGTGACCAACACCAAGTACCCCATGGAGAGATACGTCCTGCTCACCCATCTGGGAAACAAGGTCAGTGTCTGTATCCTGCTTCCTGAATCAGGCCTCTACAAAGTGGGGCTCTTCAGCAGGAACAAGGACCACAAGGATTTTGCTCATGTCTGTGACTACGTTGTCCGCTGCTTTTCCGAGCCACGGTGTCTTCCATTCCCCCGAGTGTACAGCATGTGGAGGAAAGGCTGCATCTTGCTACAGCCCAGGACGGGGGTGCTCCAGGAACGAAGCTGGATTAAGTTCAGAGTCAAGCTGCCAAAAGCCTATAGAGCTCTCGTGGTCGGGCAATCCAGGACTGAACTGCAGCCAACTTGCAGCAAGATCTGGGAGGGGGAGGTGTACACCGGGCTCGCTCGGACTGTGCTCAAGCTGGCAGTGAAGTTCAGTCAGCATTCCACCAGCATGGATGTCATCCTGTCATTTGATGTGGAAGGCAGCTCCCCCAGTTCAGAGGGGTCTTCAGGGTAAATGATCCAGAGATATGGGGAAGCTGGAAATGATCAGGAGAGTGATGGAAGCAAGCAAGAAGCTCTCAAAATTGAGGTGCTTTGATAAGAGACATAAATAAGTCCAATGTAGGAGCATGTCAGGTGGAGGTGCAGAATTGTACATTGCATATCATTTTCTGCAAGATATCCTGAGGTGCCTAGAGATGATGCAGCAATTTAATCAGAACCAGAACGCTGAAAACTCCTAATAGTCTACATGTAACGGGGGAAACCGTTGTTTGACACCTCTCCAGGAAGATTGTTTAACTGCTTATTACCAGATTGAATAATTGTTCAGCATGTTTTAGTTAAAAGAAAAGGAGGACTTGTGGCACCTTAGAGACTAACCAATTTATTTGAGCATGAGCTTTCGTGAGCTACAGCTCACTTCAAATAAATTGGTTAGTCTCTAAGGTGCCACAAGTACTCCTTTTCTTTTTGCGAATACAGACTAACACGGCTGTTACTCTGAAACCATGTTTTAGTTGACATTTCTTCAAGATCTTGGGAATTAACAGGGTTTTTTTCCTCCTCAGAGCAAAAAAAAAAAAAAAAACAAACCTGGAGCCAAAAGCATCAGGTGGTAGCAATATTTTTAAAAACATAAATATGTATAAAGGAAGTTAATCATTTCCTGATGGAGTCCATGCTAGCGAGGGAGAATGTGTGTCATTTTTAACTGCCGCTTTAAAATTTCTCCCAGGATCTGAAGAATGGAGTCTACCAGTCCTTCACTAGCCAGCTTGATGCGTAAGTGCACTGTACATGTGTGTGCTGATGATCTGGAGCGAGAGCTGGGAGTGGGTACAGCCGGCAGGAAAGCAGTTCCTTGGCCTAGATACACCATATAAATAATAGAAAAGCCTGGTCAGAGAAGCAATTATAACCTGACACATGCTAAAAGGCAGCCTTGTAGCAGAGATAAGAACACTGAACGGGCAGCTTGCTACATATAACAGCATGGATTCTACTAGTCATATATTCTTCCAGAACGTGTGTATAATTTATAAAAACACGGACACAAAGAGTAATTACATTGCCAACCACCAAAACGCAGCCACCTCTGGGGTGGTGCTAGACAACTGAATGTTGCACAGCAATATTATGTGACAGTTTAGGATAGGAAGAGCTGGTTACTATCTCCAACTGCACCGCCAAAAGGAATCTTTACAACAGGGTTTAGCTCAGCATTTCCACCTTGTTTGGAACATATGAACTGCCCCTCTTTTAGAAGCTGCTGTCACTGCTGGGGGACTAGAGAGGGCAAGAGCAAAGAAGTGGGTATCTGTACAACATCCAGTGAAACCATCTCCACACCCGCTCCACACTGATGTTTTAAATGGAAATTCTGGCTGCAATACCTTTGAATGAGGTCTAGGGTTATTTTTGGATGCTTTTAAAGAAACAGACGGGGCACTGTCCACTGTTATTCAGAGGCAGCCTATTGTGTTTGATGTACTGAAGAAGTTGGATAAAAATGGCTTTTACTTAACTTCAGCCGGCTTTTCCAGGGCATGGAAAATAATCAAACATCTGAGCTGCTACACTGGTGAAGGCCAAGGGCCCCATTTTACAGGAGCTGAAGAACTAATTGGGAAAGCACAAAAGTCCTGGAATAATAGGGAGAAAATCCTGCCAGGAACATGATACAAGGATAATTCAGAACCAAGATGGATCTGCCTGGGAAGCGTACACATTGCCAACAAGCTAGAAGCACAGAGCACCTGGCAAGGAGGGAGGTGTGACTGTGATTACAAGTATCTGTCAATAAAGTGTGTCTCCCAAGATGCACCTGGGCATTTGTTACACATTTAAGTTTCTTTTTCAAAAAGATAAGGATCAAGGACAGACACTGCTCACACTTACACACAACCCCACTGACTCTCAGTTCAGTGGGCTTGTAGGGATAGACTGAGAACAGAATTGGGTCCAGTGTGCTAAAGATTTAGCTCAAGGAAGGTAGGAAACCATGTTCCCCAAAAGGGAGAACAGTCAGAGTACCACAAATACAGGACAGCCTATAAATAAATGGGTAGGGAAGTGAATCGTCAGTGGAGAAGGGGATGTTTGAGACCGTGATGGTTTCTCAACAGGTGCATCCTCTCAAGAATATCTTCCTTTTCCTTTTGTTTTGAAACAATGGACCAGATTCTCAGCTGGCGTAAATGCATTGAAGTCCGAACTGGGCAGTACTGCCTAGGGGCAATACTCTGGGCTGGGTCAGCCGGTGGCGGGAGTCAATGGCTGGGAGTAGGGAAGCCTGGGTCCTTCCTGCTCCACCGGGTTCCAAGCCAGGGCCCAATAAATAGTACTTCAAACCATGCAGCCTATGGGATGGGCACCCCTACGCCTGCTCCCTGGGCTACTTCCTACCCTGAATTCGGTTCCTCTGGGGGTGCCACTTGTTTACTCCTTAGTCCTCTCTGGTCACACTCCAGAGGGGCTTCCTCTCCCAGTCACAGCTCCTCGTCATTGACCTCCACAGCTGAAGGGCCTGCAGCAGCTTGGCAGTAGCACCTGATCCCGGCTGCATGGGGCCTTAGTGGCTTCTTGGCAGGAGCCTGCACTACACAGCTACTCTCCTGCTCCGTCCACCTAGACTGAACTGAACTGCTCCCTGCCTCCACTGTGAGCATGCCCAGCAGGGGCAGCTGGGCAAGGTTTTCTAGGCCCAGAGCTGCTCCTTAACCCTTCACAGCACACCTTGATTAAACTGAACAGGACGGTGCCACTTTATACCAGCTGTGGATCAGGGCCAATATTTCCCCTCTTTCCCCCAAAAAATCAATTGAAGAGGGAAAGGAGCTGCCCAGCAGGCCAGACAAGGTGATCATAAAGGTCCCTTTTGGCCTTAAAAATCTATGAGTCACCAAGGAAATTTGGTGTGTGTCATGTTCATGCACTCCTCTGTCTAAAGGAGATCTGTCATCTCCTTTGTGCACCAAACCTATATGGTATTACCCTTCACATGTAAGGCTTTCCCTTCTGCTCAGATCCCTTTTGGTGGGAGTCACTTGCCTGAAATGTCACCATTTATTCCAACGGTCTCTCTCACAAAGATTATTTTAAAGCGTTAAAGTGCTTAAAATTGGATGGTTAGAGGGGAGGACAGAACTGGAGTAAAAGAGCAACAGAAAAAGGGGTATCTAGCCAGAAAAAGAAATGATCTCATCGGCTCCAATCCTGCAAACAGATCTACACAGGCAGAGATGGCTCAAGAGGCAACATAGCCTAGAGCTCAGAGTACCGCCCTGTGAGTCAAGTAGGCTGGGTAGATCCAGCTCTCCTATTTAACTGGTGCGTGACCTGGGGCAAGTCCCTTCATCTTCCTGTGCCTCTGTTTTCCCTCCCCCTTTTGTCTTGTCAATTTCATAGACTTTAAGGCCAGAAGGGACCATTAGATCATTTAACCTGACCTCCCGTAGAGCACAAGCCATTCCATTTCACCCAGGCAGCCCAGCATTGAGCTCAATCACTGGTAGGTTTGACTAAAGCACGTCTTGGGGTTGGCTAAAGCGCATCTTCCAGAAAGACATCCAGTCGCCATAGATGGGGAATTCGCCACTTCCTGTGGTAGTCTGTTTCAGTGGTGATTCACCCTCACTGTTAAAAAGATGTGCTAATTTCTAGTTTGAATTTGTCTGGCTTCAGCTTCCAGCCACTAGTTCTTGTGCTGCCTTTCTCTGCTTGACTAGAGAACTCTTTTGTGCCTGGTATTTTCTCCCTGTGAAGGTACTTTGACACTGTAATCAAGCCATTTCTCAAGCTTCTTTTTGATAAACCAAACACACTGAGCGCAAAGTCTCTTACTAAAAAACCTTTTCTCTAACCCTCCAGTCATTTTTGAGGCTCTTTTCTGTATCCTCTCCAATTTTTCAATGTCCTCTTTAAAATGTGGACACTGGAAATGTACACAGTATTTGTGATGTTGGCAGACCAGGTGCCAGCTCATGCCTAGGCCCCTAGGCCTCTGAACCCTGACAAAAGCACAGCTGGAAACCAGACTGGCTCACCCGTGTGTTAGTGTTGTTAAAATGGTATTTGATTTATAAAAAAATGTGTTTAAACTTTATGAAATGCTTGTAAGTTGCTGCATGCATTAATCTCATTTATAGTCTTTTTACCCCATGTTATAAGGTACTATTTAAATGTTTTCTCTATAACTATCAGTGTTTGTAATGAAACTGGAAACCCCTGCAGACTAAAGAGAAGCATTACCAAGTTTGAAATATTAGTTTACCACAAGAGATGTCATCTCCTGCCCAACAAAAGAAGGCCTATAGACATCAGACAAGCCACTGTGGACCATCGGTGGACAAAAGACTATGTTGATTGCTCCCTCCACATCCATGAAGAGGAGACATGCACAAACGCTCATCCCATCAGCTTGAGCTCTGGGGAAAGCGAATAAAAATCCCGGTCAAGAAAAAATGTTTATCCTTGTGCTGCTTGGACTTCAGGGAGAGGGCAAGACTTCTAAGCATAAGCAAGGGATCCCCAGCTGTTTAGCTTGGGTAAGCCCTAAAGGACTCTCTCAGCTTGCACATTACAGCAGCTTCGATCGTTTTTTGGAATCTAAGGCCTTGTCTACACTGCAGAGTTGTGTCTCCAAAAGGCAGCTTTGGACACACTACAGTGCCACTTTGGGCGACAAAACTCTTCACTTTCAATGACAAAATAAAACCTCCTTGACGAGAGGCATAAAGCTTCTTGCGTCAAAGTTAAAACAACAAAGTCTCAGTGTAGACACTCTCGTTCATTATGTCACAAGAACTGGCCTCCCCCAGTATCCCAAAATGCCTGCCCTGACCCTTCCGCGAACTGTTTTGAACTCAGCAGCCCTGCGCCCCTCCCCTTTCAAAGCTCCATGCAGACAGCTGAGCATGGTGCTCGGCTCCAAGCAGCCAGGAGCAAACCACTTACATGGAACGCTCCTGCTCTCTCCCACGCTAGGAACAGAGGCAGGCAGGGACAGATGTGTGTGTGAGAAAGAGAGACTGCTGTGCTGTGCAGAGCCAGGGGCTGATGCTGGGGGTGTCCCCCTTCCCCCAGGACTGGTTGTTTCCGGCAGCTGTCTGAACTTACAAGACAGTGTGTCGACACACTCACGCTCTTACAACACAGACGCCCCCAACACACACTGTCTCTCACATACACCCTCCCGCTCTCTCACACACTGCCCCAACATACACGGTCTCCCCTGCACACACCCATACACACTCCCTGTCGCGCACACTCCTCCCCACCTCACCCCTTGCACGTTTCAGTTGAAAAGCGGCTGGCAGTCTAGTAGGATGCCCATGGAACAAGGGGACAAACTTTGACAAACTTGCATCATGTGATGCCGCACCTGCCCCATGAGGCATTGCAAACCCTTCCCAAAGCTCCCTGCGGCCAGTCGCACAGTGCACCGCTCTCTGTGTTGATGCAAGAGCTCCTAGTGTGGACGCTCCCCGCCGGCGCAAGGAGCATAGTGTGGACTTGCAACAGCGCTTTAATTAAAATGGCATAACTTTTGGCGACAAAACTCTGCAGTGTAGACATACACACACAAATGTTACAGTTTTAGGCTATGTTGACCTGCTTTAACCTTGTAAATAACTTTTATTTCTTTCCCCTAGTTAATAAACCTTTAGTTAGTTTATTATAGGATTGGCTACAAGCATTGTCTTTGGTGTGAGTTCTAAGGTGCAACTGACCTGGGTTAAGTGACTGGTCCTTTGGGATTGGGAGTAACCTGAATATTGTTGTGATTTTTTTGGTGTAATGGACCATCTATCACAAAGGCAGGCTTGTCTGGGTGGCAAGAAAGACCGGGGTGCTCAAGGGGACTGTCTATGACTCCATGTTAAGGCTCTTATAGTGCTTGAGGAGTTCCCATTTGATACTTAGTTGATGAAATCTAACCATAGAACCCACACCCAGTTTGGGGCTCGTGCCTTGGTTTGCCGATTTCCAGGAGACAGCTCCCCCATTCTGTAGGTTTAAGCAAAACTGCTCAAAGCCAGTCTTATTCTGGAACAAGAGTGGTCACGCAGGGCGTGACAGCAGTATAACTATAGCAACTTAATTAGACCAGTATAACTTTCAGGCCAGACAAGCCTTAAATGATTTGCTATTATCCCCATTACACAGATGGGGAGCTGAGGCACAAAGAGAATAAAAGGCCAGATTTTTAAAGATATCTAGGCACCTAAAGCTACAGACAGACACCTAGTGGGATTTTCAGAAAGCATATATGCGCCCAATTTCCATTGACATCAATGGGACCATACTAAGTAGATGTAGGCATTGCATACACCTATTCTTCATTTTGTTTTTATTTAGATTTAGACACCTCAAAGCGCTTGCCCAAGACTCTAGATGCTTTGACAAAGCTTGTAAACACGACTTGCCCAAAAATAACAAAGCCAGAGCAAACTCCACCCCACGTGAAAAAATAAAATCCAGTCAGCGAGAGATCAAATCCTCACCTCTACAGAGGTCCCCACCCCCGCACTAGGATCAAGTTACGTAACTATAAATTACAGCATGTACTTGCAGTTAAGAAACACGCATTGTTCTCTGCCATTTCTATTCAATATGTTCGTTAATGACTGGGATAAGGGAGTGGAGCGCACTCTTACAACATTTCAAGGCAACGCCAAGCTGGAAGGGGTTGCGAGAACTTTGAAGACGGGATTAGAATTCAAAACAACCTTGAGAAATTGGAGAATCGGTCTGAAATCAACAAGATGAAATTCAAGAAAGACAACTACAAAGTACTCGACTTCCGAAGGAAAAATCAAAACTACAATGAGGCAGTAGTACTGCTGAAAAAGGATCTGGGGTTAGGGTAGATCACAAATTGAATGTGTCTCAGCAACGTGATGCAGTTGTGAAAAAGATTAATGTCATTCGGGGGTTTATTAACAGGAGCGTCATCCGTAAGACATGAGAGGTAATTGTCCTGCTCTTCTTGGCACTAATTATCAGAGGGGTAGCTGTGTTAGTCTGTATCCACAAAAACAATGAGGAGTCCGGTGGCACCTTAAAGACTAGCAGATTTATTTGGGCACTAACTCCTCATGGTCTTGGCACTAATGAGGCCTCAGCTGGTCCAGTTATGGGTGCCACACCTTAAGGAAGATGTGGACAAATTGGAGAGAGGGCAGAGGAGAGCAACAAAAATGCCAAAGGTTTAGAAAACCTGACCTCTGAGGAAAGGTTAAAAAAATGGGTATGTTTAGTCTTGAGAAAAGAAGACTGGCGGTCTTCAGATAGGTTACAGGCTGTTATCAAGAGGAGGGTGATCAATTGTTCTCCATGTCCCCTGAATGTAGGACAAGAAGTCATGGGCTTAAACTACAGCAAGGGAGATTTAGGTTGGATAGTAGGAAAAACTTTCTAACTTTAAGAATAGTTAAGGGCTAAAATAAGCTTCCAAGGGAGGTTGTGGAATCCCCATCATTGGAGGTTTTTAAGAACTGGTTAGACAAGCACCTGTCAGCGATGGTGTAGGTATACTTGGTCCTGCCCCAGTGAAGGGGACTGGCCTCTCAAAGTCCTTTCCAGCCCAACGTTTCTATGATTGTAGTTCAAGAAGTCCCTAGCAAGATTCCGTATGCACATGAGTGAGCCAAATCAGTCAAAGAGGGGTCAAAAAGAAGCAACCTTATAATCAGTATGGGGCAAGACAACTATATTATCCCCAGCTCCAGGCTTGTCATGGTGCCATCTTAGACATGCCCCTCTTTTTGATTCAAAGTCCAAACTTTGGGTCACTAGCAGGGATTGAACCCAGGACTTTCAGTGCTAAAAGTAAAGGGGGTGTAAACTAAAGGAGTAACTCCATTAGCTAGTAACAGTAGTATGTGCTTATCCTCCTGTGTAGAGCAGCCAGCAGAGGGGGACTTGGACTGAAGTGGTATAGAGAATCTTCTTTCTAGATGTCTGGCTGATGTGTATTGCTCATATGCTCAGGGTCAAACTGATAGCCAGTTTGGGGTTGGGGAGGAATCTCCCCCCATGTCAGAATGGCAGGGAACTTGGCGGTTTACCTTCTTTTGCAGCATGAGGTGTGGTTCACCTGTTGGGATTATCTGGGCACGTCTCACCTAGTCAGTTCCCTGCCGTTGGTAGCACCTCGGCCTCTCCTGTTCTCTGCCTGTGGCACACAACTGTTTAGTCTCCTGAGGATTGAAATCCTTTGGTCTAACCCAAGTCGCTGGGCTCAGTGTAGAGTGTGACTGGCTGAAACTTAGTGGCCACTGATAACCAGGGAATCAGAGTAGATGATCTAACAATCCCTTGTGGCCTTAAACTCTATGAATCTATGAAACACCCACTGAATCAGAGATCCCCTAGTATCTTTGGGGCAGGCACTATAAGTGAGTACCGTAGCAATGAGCATGTTGAGCAGGATTTGACTGTATTCTTTTGGGGAACAAAATACCTTCAAATAACCTCTCTAAGTTTTTATCATCAGACACAAGCTCCACACAGACCAGGACCCGCCAACTCAAAGTGGCACCGGACCCTACCAGAACAGATGTAAAATCTGTAGCCATATCTCCACTACTATGATGATCAATACCCCTCACAACACACCTTTCAAGATCTGTGGGTCCTACACATGCCTATCACAATGTACCTTGTCCAGTGCATTAAATGCCCCAACAGCAACTGTGTGGGTGAGATGAGACAGACAATCACTACACCTTCGAATGAATTCACACAGAAAAGTGATAAAAGACAAAAATACTCCCTCACCTGTGGGCAAACACTCGAAGCAATCATTCCCCATCTAACCTCTCAGTCGTCATCCTCAAAGCAAACCTGCAAAAACCTTTAAAAGATGAGCCTAGGAGCTTAAATTCATAACTTTGCTAGACACTAAATATCATGGGCTTAATAAAGACACTGAATTTATGGTTTATTATAACAATCTGTAACCCACTAACCCCCAGTTTTTGTCATATGACTACAGGGATGTTAACTGGCCACTTCACCTCAAATGGTTTCTTAGAACGTGTTAACTCCTTATGCTGAACAATCTATTCCACCTTGTATTTAGCTGTGACAGGCTGGTTACCTTTCCCAGACCTGAAGAAGAGCTCTGTGTAGCTCGAAAACGTCTCTCTTTTACCAACAGAAACTGGTCCAGTAAAAAATATTACCTCGCCCACCTCGTCTCTTTAATATCCTGGGACCAACACGGCTATAACACTGCACACATTCAAATATGCACGTCGTAGGTCTGAAATGCAGACTGAGGAGGTGTGAAGGAGACATCTATGAGATTCTGGGTGCTTTTATTGGCTCATTGGGTAATACTTCCTTATTTAAGCATTAATACAACCTGAAACACTGAATCGCTCTTAGCCGAGTTTTTGACAGATGTAATTGTATATATTTCCCTCAGAATGATGGTGTTAATGGGCTGCAGGGCAGGAAATATGGAGCAAGCGTCTGTGGATTGGCTCTCTCAAAATGACTCAGTCCAGAAGTGCAACCCTGTCCAGCAATGTGGCTTTCTATGCCATGAGATCATGTTGGGAGCATGAGAGGTAAGGTGACTGCACAAATAAAATAAAGCTTGCAGGCTGCCAGTTCTTCCAACGGTAGACCATTTAAGGGATGGATACACACTGCTGAGAAATCTTTGCTGCTTTTAATTGCTGGAGTCTTTGGCACCAGGTTCTTTTTTTTTCCACTCCCCACTTCAACATAATATAACAAATTGTTATATATTATTTACAGTAGCACGGAGAGCCCCTCCCCTGAGATTGGGGCTTCATTGTTCTAAACAGTATGCATACACATCATCTGTATTGCACCTCGGAACGCCAGTCTTGAAGCAGAACCCGCTGGTCTAGGTGCTGTATGAGACACAGAACAAAAAGACAGTCCCTGCCCCCAAACGTTTATAATCCATGTACAAGACAACAGCTGGATACAGACAGATCGACACGGGAGCACCAGCAAATAACGTGACAATACTGGTCAGCATGACAAGCCGCCGTCTCAGCACACGAAGCAGCCTAACCGTTATAATTAGCGTAGAGAGTTCCTACCCCATGGACAGTACAAAGTAAATAGACAAGACAGACAAAGGAAGTATTACTACCCCAGCGGTACAGGAAGGGAACTGAGGCACAGAGAGATTAAGGGCACGTCTACATTGCAATTTAAAACCCATGGCTGGTCCGTGCCAGCTGACTCAGGCTCACAGGGCTCAGGCCAAGGAGCTGTGTAATGGCAGTGTAGATGTTTGGGGTCAGGCTGGAGCCCAGACTCAGGATAATCCCAGAGTTCAAGCTGCAGCGCGAGGCCTGATGTCTACACCACAGTTAAACAGCCCCTTAGCCCGAGCCCAAGTCAGCTGGCACAGGCCAGCTACAGGTGTCTAGTTGCAGTGTAGACATACCCAATGTGACTTGCACCAGATTACATGCTGCAGCAGAGCCAGGAACTGATCCCAGAGCTCCTGAGTCCCATCTGAATGTCTTAAACACAAGATCATTCTTCATCTCCAGCAACAACCCTCTGGACCTCCACAACAAAGATTTGCAGATACCCATGAGGCAGGTATTTTGGAATTTAGCATTACCTGGTGTTTAAATACCACTAAAAG